CTCACTTGAACAGTGTCTAGCGATGTAAGGCCGTCTAGGTGGCAGCCAGGGCACTTCTAGAGACTGAAAGGACACTTTCCCAGCAGCGGGAATGAAGACAAACAAGCGACGTATCACAAAGCTCATCTGGGTAGCTCGGGAAATCAACAAAGCTGGCCATGCCGTGACGGCAGTTGGAGTTGGTAGCCGGGCAAGTTGGTAATGTGGCTGACAGGATGTTCGTGGGTTTGACCACTGCAGCCTTCACGCCAGGTTGCGCCAACACATTCTAGCAACGACTTCACCGCAACTGGCCCCTGGACTTCTGGATACGTTCATGGAAGAGGCTGGCTGATGCGACAGGAGTGCGGTTTGTTCACCTTGACACAGAGGATGTACCACAGAGTCTGTGTCAATGCAGCTTATTTCATTCACTTTGTGCACACCAAGTGCCTTGCTCACAATGACCGCGATCAGCGCTACTCCCCTTCAATGTGCCTCGAGGGAGGGAACTTCATTTGATGTTCGTATCTTCGGCAGCGATAAACCAAGGGTCTTCCGAGGGTTCCTAACCCGACCAGCTTTTCGAGCCAAAGCTGCAATACTGGCCGGATTGAAGACCAGACATGATGAAGGTTGAAGTTCAAAGATTGAACTAAACCTGACACATGAGGCATGGCGCACATGACAAAAGACTTGGTTGGAAGGAATGAACACTTTGTTTTGGCGAATTGACCCGCGCAGCCAATGGAGGCGCATATTCCGTCATGTGTCTTTCCAATTGAAATCTGACATTGTGCACAAAGCCCGCAAACAGCGCAGCCCAACTGCACAAGTTGGTGAGGGACGCTCACTTCTGTGTTCACTGTTGTTGTTTTTGCGGCATGTAGAAATATTGCCAAGCTTTTGATCAAGCAGTGCGGCTTCGGCGCTTGAAGCTTGTTTCAAACCGCATTCATGTTGGCCAATCAATGGGTCAGGGCAAGCAAAGGCTGCTCAAACTTGAATTAGGTGATTGACACTGTAGCCCACCTCACACGCAAGGTAAAATTATCTGTAACACAAACGCATCTCAACACGTACAAACCCACCACGCAAAGGGGTATATGCAAATAACCATGTTTTCGCATGATGACTTGGGAGTAAACTGCATCCTGGTCGCAAAGACCGCGAGAGTTGGGACTTGGCAAAGTTCAAACACTTTAAAAACTGTGTGCAGAATTATGGTGCGTTTTGCCTGATGACATGGGACTTTCGAGTGATTGCAGGGGCGATTCAAGTTCCTTTAGAAGCGACCTTGCGTTAGGAGGGTAATCTTTGGTGCCAACAGGGGGACCACCCTACAAGTGAGTTCCATCTCGGAGAGAAAACCCCTGGAAAAGCCAAGCATTGAATCAAAAAAACAAAAAGGTTGTCCCTAAAAAAGGGACACACCTATTTTGGTTTGTAAAAGCCCTCACAAGGCCTGCGCGCCTGAGCAATCTACCCCCCAGCCAGAATCTGTTTGGATCTCCGAGCCGCCAGAAAGAAAACATCTATTCTGCGGCGAAGGCGGAAGCGGGGCTTTGGCTTCGCTTGCCCAAACGCCCGGCCTCTTACTATTTGTATGAAACACTCCTGAAAAACAACTTAGAAATAACACCATTCATGAAGGGTTGTCAAATTCGCGGACTGACGAGCAAAACTTTGCACCAGTTTCTGGGTTGAGAGGAATCCGAAACCCCACTTTGAGAGAATGGGGGGGGGGGCATTCAGGGGTCTGGGAAGGTCTTATAATTCAAACGTTTTCTTTCGGGTGAGAACTTGTTGCAGCAGTATAGAATGAGCACTTGGAAAAACCCTGAGAAGGGATTTGGTGCCCTTTAACCCATCAGGCGAAATGGGGAAAACAAAGCCGAAAAAAACCTCCCTGGCGCAAAAGGAAACGGCCAAGCGGCTCGGGAGGGCGATGTGACTGCCTGGAGACAACGCAATCAGCTGTTCACGGTGCCAGGGGGGTCCCAATCCTTGGGCATCGCTTCAAGCTTTGTCTTGGTATGGTCCATGTGCGTGACTTGATATTATATCAACATTGTCTACCCAGGATTATGTAAAGAAGTACCAAGCGGCCGCGCCCATTCCCTTACCCTGATTAGGACTCATTGGCCAACCACGAGCCCCCGGTCCTGCGAGCGGCAGACCTCCAAGGAGCAACATGACCTGGGCAAATCATCCCACTGAATGAGGGCACCTTTCAGCCACCTTTCTTTGGTTCATTTCAAATGGGAACCAACCGGAATCCATCCATTTCGGGGTCACTCAAGTCCCTACAAATCCGGCGTCCGTTTTTGGTCTCACACACAAGGGTCAAATAGACATCCCATTTGTCCCCGATAATTGAAACCCGGCTACCTTTGTCGCACGTAAAAGGGGATCAAATGGACAAAAAGTAAGGTTTCAAAATAGGGCTTGCCCCCTGAATGGCTTAGGGAAAAAGGCGACCAACCTTGACAAAAATATATATTTCCAAGGGCTTCAAAAGGAACTGGGGGGTTCAGATCCCAAGCTGCTCCCGAACCGCTGCTCCCCTGTGTTAACTTGGAGGGTCCCATCGCGCTTTCCACCTGCGGCATTGAGCAAAGGCGCGCCCACATCAAAGCCGAAGAGTCATGGCTTGATCATATCGCATCAAGACCCACATGGGTGTGTTGTGGAGTTGGCACCTTCAGGCTGTTTTGAGGAAAAAACAAAAGCAAAGCAAAACCAAGATCCAGTTTTGGGGGTCGCCCTATTTTCGACACACCCAAATGTGCCTGCTGCTGGTCAGTAACTGCTGATCCACGCTGCACGAGCTCGCGTGGTTGTTCTGACAGCTGTTCCCTGGTCTGTGTCTCTTGTTGGGCCTGCCTCAAATTTCGCGGCTCGCTTTTTGGCTGGTTTCAAAAGAGAAAACAAAGGTCATCCATCTTAAGAGGTCTCTATCTTTCAGCAACACCCGGTTTTCAGTTGCCTGGCTTTTCAACCACTGAGACAAGTGCAGGGTTCATGCACCCACAAATTGCTGGAGCCGGCATGAACGCATTGTGATCAAAACATGCACACTCAAGCCACATGCAGACGCAATGTTGTTCATTGATCCGGTATGTCAAGACCAGCAAACAGATGTTGAAATAGGCCCACAGCGCGGGACAATCTTGCAACCGTTCTCTGTGCAATGAGCAATCCGCAAGCACTGGCCATTTCTTGCCTTGCAGTTGTCAAAGCTCGCAGCTTAATATTTCATGCAGGAACAAATCACCAAAGTATTTGCTGGCAACTATGCTGATCACAGGTGTCTAGTGCAGAGATACAACATCTGGCAGAATGGTACTCGCTAGTACGATACCCTTTAGCACAGTGTGTGGCCATGACTCATGGCGTGTGTCAACCAATTCGCAGGCTGACATGGCTAAGGCCACTGCTTGCAACAAAGAGCTCTAGGCTAAACACATGAAAAACCCGAATCATCCCTACTCCAAATTTACACACTCAAAAGCGCTCTGCTTTCCACACAAGTTTTGATGGCTCAAATGGTTTGCGGCCAGCTTGCCACGTCAAAGCCTTCCCCAAAGCTGCAGGCAGCTCACTGGAACCCGCAACCGCCATGGTGTTGCTAGGCGTCCGAGCCACCTCCATGGAAACATTGGAAACACGGGGCCCACTCTAGAGTAAGGCAGGCCAAGTAACTTTTCCCGTCAGGCTTTGAGGGCAATCAACCTCCACTGGTAGTTTTGAGAACCCTTCAAAGAGCACTTGGTGGCTATGTAATAAAAGCCCAATTTGGTTTGTATTAAAAACCTAACCCAATGGAGAAAAAAAAACGCGCTCTGGATCCATGGATCCAAAGAGCATCAGTGCTGGGCTCATTCGATTGGCACTGACTCGGCACTCGGCACTCGGCACCGCATCCGATGTCTGCGGCTCAGAGAGCTCGCTCCCGGCCTGGGAAGAGCTCGCCCAGAAATCGAAGGATCTCCTCGCTCTTTGCCTTCTCCCCCTCCTGGCGCTTGATCAAAAGGTCCCAACAAAAACATAGGACCATAGCAAACCTCTAGAAAGATTTGAAACCATTCATTTGGAAAAGTTACCCTTGTTCATTTGGGGGCCAGGAATATGGATCAACCCCCATGTGTCGGTCAAAAATCAAGAAAACAAGCACGGAGCAACTCTAGGACGCGAGCGAGGTAGTTGATTTTCAAGATGGTTGGCCCAAACCTTAGCTGAAGTCTAGAGAATCGATGCTCACTGCGCAGAGACCCTCAGGCATCGCAAGCAGACCTAACCATGTCATTTTGACCATGTCGCGGTTGGCCCTTTCATCTAGCGGCACAAGTTGCGATTCACCCCCCCATTTCGCGAACTTCTGGGCCAAGCGCTGTTCCGACTGCTCCGAGGTGACTGAGAGATGCCTCAAGCGTTGCACGAGCACCAGTCATTCGCCCCAATTGTTGCCCAATCAAGGCTCCGTCGCTTCCAGCTCGCAAGACATGTTACACTATGATGGCGGTGGGAGGTCAAAACAGGGCCGTTTTGGCATCCCCGTAAAAGGCGACGCCTTGGGTGGCACCGAAGTTCCAAAAAGAAAGGAACCAACCTCTTGGTGTCTGACAAAGGGAAGCCCCCGGAGACGGCAGCACTTGCGTTCTCAACCTCGAGGCGAGCTGAACCACTGCGCCCGTCTCTCTAGCTCTTAGCACCGGGCCCGGCCGAGAGGGACCTCGACCACCTGTGTCTCGGAGCGTCCCTGAGTTGGCAAACACAGATTCTTTGGTATGGCTCCTTTTGTTGCACCTCTTTGGGCTGGCTTTGAAAGAAAACTAAAGGAAACACCGCCATTTTTCCGGGGGGGGGTCCCGTATTGGAAGACACCCCATTCTAGCCCATTTGCTGGCACGTGTTGTCAAAAAACACGGACACCTGCTTGGAGCGATCGTGTCAGGTCCCTCATTCTCACACACCAACATGTCTTGTCCTAGCCTTTGAGGTTACATGCGCTCTCACGTTCACAGTTCATCTGCGGCCGCCTTCGTGGCTTCGTTGGTGCCTTGGGCGACGAAGAATCGCTCGAGCACTCAGCTCCAGCCACACGCCCTCGGGTCCACACGCGGTCCGGGGAACTCTAGCATGAGGCAGTCGGGCGTGAAGGTGACCGTGCCCTGGCCCTGCAAGCCTCAGCCGAGCCGAGCGCCCAAAGACGCAAAGAGCGCAGAGCCGAGCGCCCCGCTGCCCCAAGTGAACTTGCAGCACAAGCCCTCCACCTCGCGTTAGATAAGAAGACTCTTGGCCAAACGACACAGCAACCCGCTTCGCCAAGCAAAGCATTGCCCTGGAAGCCTGCCTTGGCCACTTGCTTGAAGGTCTTCAGCACCCGATGGTGATCGCATTTGTCACTCAGCCCCACTTTTTGACGCCCACCGGAGGCCGACACCTCGAATCTCGACAAAGCCTGGCAAATCAAAACCAAGCCAACGACCTCGGGGTCAATGGAGCCGATGTCCGCAAACATCTTACCCTCCATGCCCAAAAAGAGAATGCGGGCAGCGGTGACCGCTTTGCTCGTCTCAACCTCGACACCCAAATTCCGTAGCGATTCAAGGATCTTGACGTCTTGATTTGGATCCGCACAGCTTGGGAAGTTCCCCAAAAAGCGCATGAACTTCTTCACCTGCGCATCGCTGCTGGCGAAGCATTGGCCAAAGTCGAGCAAAGCCACCGCTCCACGTTCCCATGCCTTGGTTCGCGTTGCTCATACGAAAACATTGCTACAAAAAATTGCAAGATTTCAAAACAATGGTGGTCTTCCTTTTGGTTCCAGTTGAACCAAGCTGAAAATGGAACCACACGCCCGTGTCAAAAGCGCAGATTCAGCCTAGAAGCCATGAAGTTTCCCGGGTGAGCATCTGCATGGACCAAGGTTTCTCCAGCCAGCATGGCTCCCCAAGCCGAGTACAGGAGCACACGTTGATCCTGGCCGAAGACATCCACCACCTTGCCCTCTGCCCATTTTTGCTCAGCTTCGTAGCCGGTAATGCCATCCAGCTTCTCCATGAGAAGCACTTGCTCCGTGCTTTCATAGACCTGCCCCACAAAATACGGCAATGGGCCTGCGAAAGAAAACACACACATGACCAAACCATGAAACCCTGCGCGAAAACATTGCGTAAGTTAAGCGATACGCAGCCCATCACGGCACTCAACCCCAGCCTCCGGCACAACAATGCTCGAACCCGCGAAGTGCTGCCGCACAAAGCCTTGGTTCTTCGCCTCCTTCCTCATGTCTGTCTCCCCTGATAGCACAGTCTCCAACTTCTCGGCCAACCCAGACAACAATGGATATATGCCTCTTGCCAGCTCCTCCTTGTTCACTTCTTTGGCAATGTGCACCATTATGTCAAGGTCGTCTTTGTAGGTCTGACACACCTTCTGGTGGAGCAGCTTGCACACCGCAGGCTTGCCATCAAGCCACGCTTCATGGACTGAAGCCATGCTTCCTGATTTCAACACCTCGCCGACCGACAGGTCACCCAATGACGAGTCCACGGACGACAGCGCCTGCTTGATGTCATCCGGATCACTGATAAAGCTTGCTTCTTCCAGCGCCTTACAGAAGTGGCGGCGATAGCCAGATGGGATGTCCGTCCTCAGAGACACGTACTGAAGCGCCTTAAAAGCTAACCCTCCGAACTTGGTTGCGGACTCGAAGAGCACGCGGGCTATGAGATCGTGCCGCTGCGAGTCGGACAAAGTGGCCTGGGGACACATCTGGGCAACGAGGGGCACCCACTCGCTCAGATAGTAAACGGGCTTTGTAAGGCAACCGTGCACGTAGATGTCGACGGCAAACTTCACAACGTCTTCTGCCATCTTCTTGCGCTCGGTTGCCACATAGTCCACACCACTCAGGCAGGGCACTTGAAGATCCATGGTGTCACACAATCAAAGAGATGTTCGGAGCTCTTGGACACTCAAAAAAAAGCTCGAGCCAAATGACCACCGACACAGCTTAGGATGTTGCGTCAGTGCCTCAACACCTCTGTCAGTCGTCTTCGCCGCAACTTAAGCTCCCTCACACGACGCTCTCGCAGACGATGATCCGCCTTTTCTTTCGTGCTATCCTTGGCCACGGTTCATTTCGACGCGGCCACATCAGAACTGGCATCTTTGGCCAGAACCACCTATCAATGTCATCTTCCGCCCAACACTAGACTCCTGTTTCTGCTGTCGGCCCGTGTTTGACAGCAAAAAGGCACACGCTAGCTGTAGTCTGCGAGTACGCCTCCAGCCGAGATGTGTCACCTTTGGCCGCTTGCAAACAAATGCGCAAACGTGCAAAGCGCTCTGCATCCCTGCTTCAGGTGAAAGAAAAACGCGGAGTTTGTCTGCGGATCCTGCCCGCGCCTGCCCTCATTTTTGGAATTTCGCTAGAACTTTCATGTTTGCTCTTCGCTGAACAATTAATATGTGCATTGGCGAGGCCCTCGTCACTGCATTCTGCGGGCAGCAGAATAGAGCACTCAGTCTGGCAAATCCAAACTGTGGCATTTTGGAAAGTACGCATCTGCATCTGCGAACCCGAAAGCAGGCAGTGTAATGGGAGGCTAGGGAAGCAAATCCACCGCCTTTGGTGCCAGATCTCATTGGAGGTATTTCAGAGCTCACAATGATGTTCCTTTGCTCGGGGATTCCTTGTAAGGTACCTAAGAAATCTTAGATTACATTATCGGTTTTGGTTGATTCTAAGCATCAGCTTTTGATTCTGCAACCTAAAGCAGTTTAACTCAACCGATTGCAGCAAAATGCTGCGACATGTCAATTGCAAAGGATACACGCCGCGCTGTGATACTGCCAGCGTCGGCCCACTCGCAGCACGCGCTGTCCATAGAGCACAGCACGCCAGCCAAGCGCAGTCAACATGATTTCAACTGAGTGTCTCCGGCCGCTCACTAGTACACTGTGCCAGCTGTTCAAGTAGCCCAGCCCGAATGGCACAGCTCGAACACCGAGAGGCTGGCTCAATCCAAGAACGCAAATGCCGTCTAAACATCAGCTTCTGATTCTGTAACCCGAAGCTGCAAAAGAGCACAGGCCTCAACACTTGGTGGGAGTAAGGCTTCAGAACGTCGAAGAGCCCCTGCACATTGCTGGATTCTGCAAGTTGAGTCACCGAGAGCATGCCAAGGCCAGCTCGTGCTACTTACACTTTGCAGAATGAAGCCCTGCTGCACACAGCTGCAAGACTGGTAGCCTTGCAAGCTTTCTGAAGCTCACAAATTGAAGCACACCAGCCAATTTCAATCTTGCATGATCTGCGTCAAACATAACTGCCATTTGAGTGTCTCCAGTCACTCCTTCTCATGTCCCACTTGGGATGCAGCTGCATCGGGCCAGCTGTTCAAGTAGCCTAGACCGAATGGCACAGCTCAAACACCTAGAGGTTGGCTCACCCAAAAACGTAAATGCCAAAATACCCACGCAAATGACCTGTCTGCTCGTGTCTTACTTGGAAACCGTTTTTTGCGCAAAACGGTAAGTCATCCAAAGTTTGGATGCCACAATTTCCACAGGTATGCGCCGTGAGTTTCACTGAAAACCCTCGATGCGATGCCCCTCAGAGCAACACGGCGCTCTGTCAATCGGCTGTCGTTGGTCCAGTCGCTGGCGGTTTGCTGACGCTTCACAGCCTCAGGCATTACACGCGTTCGAAAATCGAGCTTCATCTTTGGAAAGCCAGCCTATATGAGCAAGGCTTGGTTTGCGAGGCTCCAGAGAGGTTGAGATTTGTGACAATGAGCACAGAATCATGGCTTTGTTGAGTGATCTTGCGCGCAACCCGCGTGGAGACCGGGTTGCCGTCTTGCAAGAATACGGAGAAGACACATTGCAGGTGTGTTTTCTGAGGGTATCCTTGCAGTGGAAAAGGAAATCCCGTTTCCTCGCGCTGCCTTCTGGCTTGCACTGCTCCCACCACACAACTACAGACCATTTTGATGCAAGGGGGCGCTGTTGCCATTTGAGAAGCGGGCGCTACGTAATCGTCCCCTTGTTGCTTAAGCCAGGCATACCAGGCGTCTTGCAACACAGTCCGAGATAGCGAGGCCCTGCATTGCAGCCTATTCAAAAGTTCTCAGCCAAGAGGGATAATCTTTGGTCGGAGCAACTGGCCTGCCAAGCGACCCATGAGTGACTCAATTCTGAACCAGGAAAGGGCTTCAAATCTGAACTCACAGCGTGGTTCCCTTGTGCCCCAAGCTGTCCCGCTTCTCCAATCGCAAGCTCTTCTGCTCGCACGCCTGCCTTCAAGGGTTGCCAGAGACATGATTGCATTTGCTGCGCAAAAGCCACACTCTGGCTAAGGCTTCACTTGCAAATCAGCGTAACGTTTGAAGACCAATAAAAACCATGATGTACTGCTACCAACAGTGTAACATGGAGTGGGTCACGCTACGGCTTCTGTGAGATTTCCACGCTGATGCGCAGCGACAACTTCTTGCTAAGCTGCCAACAAATGGCTGTAGCCGCGATGGCTGCTTGTTCAAGATGTCATGCAGCCAGTGACTGCTACTTAGATGCAACTGTCATCGGGTTTCCAACCAAGCCAAGAATTACAAGTGCTTTGCGACGCAGCCGTGTCCGAGATAGTGAGGCCCTGCAGGTCAGCCTATTCACAGAACTCCTCAGCCAACAGGGAAAATCTTTGGAGCTGCCAAGCGTCGAGGACACCGGTTGAACCAACGGAGGGTTTCAAATCTAAAGTTGCTGCGATATTCCCTCGTGCCCCAAGTTGTCCGCTTCTGCAATCTCAAGTGCTTATCTGCAAAAGCCATTGCATTGCTAACACTTAACTTGCAAATCAGCTCTGGTAACGCGTGAAGGTCGATCAAGACCATCACTTGCAAACTCCAAGCTGATTCAACTATTTCCTGCGCACCTTCCAACTCTTAGCCGCTCGTATGCAAAACGTTGAGGACCAAATCCTGACAGGCAGCGGGATTTAAAGGTATGTTTTGTTGGCCCGAGACTTCAAGATGATAACTACAAACTCAGTGTGAAGGCTGCTCAGCGGAGCTCAACACTTGGGTAGCGCAAAAACAATAAGTCTCGACGCTAACTGCTTCAAAGCAGTCAGGGAACTCCTTGGAAGAAGCAGTGAGGGCTTGCAAGCGCAATGATTCAATGATTCAAGCATCAACACGCAAAAACGCATGCTTGCTACGCCACGCTGCTAAATATTGCTGAATCTTGATAGACCCTAGCAAGTGGTGCTGGGCTTGTTGGGGATAGAATGCTTCCACGTTTCAGGCACTGAGAGTGCTGAAAGCTTGCTCATGTCACGGCTGGTGACGTTTGAAGGTCAACGGCTCTGACAGGCAGGATTTAGAATGCATGTTTTCTTGTTTTTGCCCAGCAAGCCGATAACTACAGGCTCGGTGTGAAGGGCGCACCCCGTGTCGCATATTGACCGCGGGCCAGGGTTCCTTCCGCAGGCCTCCGCGGGCCAGGGTTCATCGTTCCGCGTGCCGCGCGCGGCGCAGGCTTGACAAGTTTTGCTTGAGAAAGAAACAATCCTTCCGCAAAGAAAACCTCTTCAAGAACCATCCAGCTTCCGCTGTTGCGCGGGGCAAGAGAAATGTCCCCGGGCTGCTCTATTTTAAACGCTGAACCTTCATAGGCCCTGACCCTGTGGTACAGAGACTTGCTGACACATGCTACCACGTTGTGGGCAAAGGCCTTTTCACGCAAGTAGCCGATGGAAGCCTTTATTCCCGAACATCCGGCCTGAGTATGTTAATGAACCCAGTTTCCCATTACATACAGCCATGGATCCAGCACCCCAAACTTTCTGACAGTAAAGCCAAGAGCAAGTTCAGATGGTGTAAGAACGACACACTTGCCACAAACACGTCCACCACTGGCTGCCATCTGCAAGCAACTCGTCTGCACGTACGCCCTCTGCAATCAATGGTCTTCCAACATGGCGCTCGAGCAACGTCCGGCGATAAGAAAGTTGCAAACGCCCAACAAGTTGATAATCCGTCAAATGTCACGTTGGCACACAGGCCCTCTGGGGCGCACGCTCCACTAACAGCGTTGACACGTGCCCTGGAAGGACCGCAATGCCGCACGCAAGCTCAGAAGAGGCAGCCCCACAATCGATATCCAACAAAGCCTGCGCAGGCAATGCAAGGTAACATGTGGCGCGCACACGCTGGTGTGATTCTCCATTGGCTGGCCTGCCACGTTAGCACTCGACATCCTAAGAGCATGCAAGAACAGACTGAGAACCTGTCACGCACATAGGCGTGCGCGCAAATGCAGTATTGCCACGGCTGTTCAAGGAACTTCTACCAACAAATGTCAGCCTAACTCGGCAACCGTTGAACAAAAGCAGGCCACGCAGCTCCGCCTGTAAAGCTTCGTTGCTTGTGAACTGAATTTGCCACTGTGCTCAGGCGTAGGATGTCTTGCGTGGCCACATGAGAGCAGTAAAGTGAAGCTTGAAGCAAAGCTAGCGATAGCCATCGGCGACCACACATGCAGTGCGTGTTGCTCTGGCACATCTGTCCACACTACGCCTGCCATTTTGAACCCTTCCGGCAAAAGTATTTTTCCACCACGTGGGCGCTGACAAGCTCAGTTTGAAGACTGTTTGCTGCACAACAATTTGCTGAAAGTCAACAAGCCCCCCAACACGTGTTGTCTATCAAAGCCTGTCTATGTGCACTGCGAGCCTACCCTCAAACGACAGACACACCGAGCCCGGCGCTGCCACCGGGCGACCGCCCCGCCTCAGCTCGATAGCACATTCGGATTCAAATCAGTGCACAACATCGTCCGTCCCGGAACCCTCGGGGCGGTGCTGCTTTTTGAACGTTTTTCCTTTAGAAGCGACCTTGCGTTAGGAGGGTAATCTTTGGTGCCAACAGGGGGACCACCCCACAGGTAAGTTCCATCTCGGAGAGAAAACCCCTGGAAAAGCCAAGCATTGAAACCATCAGCTTGGTTTCCCAATAAAACCAACCCAAAAAGCAAAAAGGTTGTCCCTAAAAAAAGGACACACCCATGTTGGTTTGCAAAAACCCTCACAAGGTCTGCGCGCCTGAGCAATCTACCCCCCAGCCAGAATCTGTTTGGATCTCCGAGCCGCCAGAAAGAAAACATCTATTCTGCGGCGAAGGCGGAAGCGGGGCTTTGGCTTCGCTTGCCCAAACGCCCGGCCTCTTACTATTTGTATGAAACACTCCTGAAAAACAACTTAGAAATAACACCATTCATGAAGGGTTGTCAAATTCGCGGACTGACGAGCAAAACTGTGCATCAGTTTCTGGGTTGAGAGGAATCCGAAACCCCACTTTGAGAGAATGGGGGGGGGGGCCATTCATGGGTCTGGGAAAATCTTACAACCCAAACGCTTTCTTCCGGGTGAGAACTTGTTGCAGCAGTATCGAATGAGCACTTGGAAAAAGCCTGAGAAGGGATTTGGTGCCCTTTAACCCATCAGGCGAAATGGGGAAAACAATGCCAAAAAAGACCTCCCCGCAAAACACAAACGGCCAAGCGGCTCGGGAGGGCGATGTGACTGCCTGGAGACAACGCAATCAGCTGTTCACGGTGCCCAACTCCCCCAAAACTGCTCCTACCACCCCCAAAACATAGCTCCAGCTTCAGCATAGGCAACAGCTGGGTTGCAGCTAAAACCTGAGATGGCTACCTGTTGTTTTCATTTGCTGCCACCAAAAGGGGGGCTTCAAAACAAGACCAAAAAGTGGTGAGTCAGGTTCCTCTGAGCCTCAAGTGGTTGCACCCTTCGCTAGAAAGAATCATACAGGTGTATCCGACAAAATTCGACACCCAACTGGGTACGTTCAGCGGCCAAACAAAACCAAGCTACTGAAACTTCGCCCTAGCCCATTGGGAGATCAGGACAAAAGCGGGCGAATACGGAACGAGGAACGATGCATGGCAGGCTGGTAGCGACCACTTGAACAGATTGGTGGTGTTCCATCCTTAAGGCATGATGGGTAAATGCAAGGCATTGGGTAAATCCGGGGTTGCCAAGATTCGGAACTCAAAAGAATTGTCTGGCTTCCTCTTGGTTACCCTCTCAACATCTCGTTCTGACCATCCTGTGTCTCTTAAATTAAATTTATGTTGCCTGGACTGTTCAAAACAAAGGCTTGAATCGCATCATTTGGCTGTGGCTCAAAATTGAGCAGCTGGGGTTGCCCACAGGCCTTCGTCTTTCCATTTACCAAGGCGCCATTTTGGGCTCCATGTTTTGAGCAGCCGTTTTTGTCCAACGAAGGCAGCCTGAAAAGGGGATCTTGTGTTGAAAGAGACCCAACAAACGTGGTTTGGCGCACAAACGTTTTTCGGAAGACAAGTAACCCTTGAAAAGGGTGCACTTCCATATTTGTAGGGGCATAATGGAATCCACAAAACCTCATGTCGGAGAAAGACCCCTTGCAAGGCTTCCATGTACTGCACGCCAATTGGTATTTCTGCGGTTCTTCTTTGAGGGTTTTGGATTTGCTGCTTAGGGACACCAACCGAATCCTCCCATGCGGGATCCAGTAGGTGTTTCCAAACAGAAGGGGGGCCCCAATCCTTGGGCATCGCTTCAAGCTTTGTCTTGGTATGGTCCATGTGCGTGACTTGATATTATATCAAAATTGTCTACCCAGGATTATGTAAAGAAGTACCAAGCGGCCGCGCCCATTTATGGCTGGGATTGTCCCTTACCCTGATTGTGACTCATTGGCCAAACACGAGCCCCCGGTCCTGCGTTGAGCGGCAGACCTTCAGGGAGCAACATGACCTGCGCAAAGGGCACCATTCAGCCACCTTTCTTTGGTTCATTTCAAATGGGAACCAACCGGAATCCGGGGTCACTCGAGTCCCTACAAACCCGGCGTCCGTTTTTGGTCTCACACAAGGGTCAAATGGACATCCCATTTGTCCCCGAAGATTGAACCCCAGCTACCTTTGTCGCACACAAAAGGGGATCAAATGGAAAAAGCTGCATATTGCACGCAAAAAGGGCAAAAAGGAGGTCTCAAAATAGGGCTTGCCCCCTGGATGGCTTAGGCTATTAGGGAAAAAGGCGACCAACCTGGACAAAAAAACATATTTCCAAGGGCTTCAAAAGGAACTCGGTTCAGATCCCAAGCTGCTCCCGAACCGCTGCTCTGCAGGCGAACGTGAGGAACCAAGAAAAAGTGTCCCAACCAAAGGGTTCTGTGTTAACTTGGAGGGTCCCATCGCGCACCTTCGGCATTGAGCAAAGGCGCGCCCACATCAAAGCCGAAGAGTCATGGCTTCATCATATCGCATGGTCAAGACCCACATGGGTGTGTGTGTGTGTGTGTTTGTGAAGTTGGCACCTAGGCTGTTTTAAGGAAAAACCAAAGGCAAAGCAAAACCGAGATCCATGTTTGGGGGTCGCCCTATTTTCGACACACCCAAATGTGCCTTCCGCTTGTCAGTAACTGCTGATCCACGCTGCGCGAGCTCGCGTGGTTGTTCTGACAGCTGTTACCTGGTCTGTGTCGCTAGTTGGGTCTTCCTCAGAATAGAGGCTCGCTTTTTGGATGGTTTCAAACAAAAAACAAAGGTCATCCATCTTAAGAGGTCGCTATCTTTCAGCAACACCTGGTTTTCGGTTGCCTGGCTTTTCAACCACTGAGACAAGTGCGGGGTTCGTGCACCCACAAATTGCTGGAGCCGGAATGAACGCATTGTGATCAAAACATGCACACTCAAGCCACATGCAGACGCAATGTTCATTGATCCGGTATGTCAAGAGCAGCAAACACGGTTCCCCATGTTCACGTATGTTGAAAGAGACCCACAGCGCGGGACAATCTTGCAACCGTTCTCTGCGCAATGAGCAATCCGCAAGCACTGGCCATTTCTTGCCTTGCAGTTGTCAAAGCTCGCAGCTTAATATTTCATGCAGAAACAAATCACCAAAGTATTTGCTGGCAACTATGCTGATCACAGGTGTCTAGTGCAGAGATACAACATCTGGCAGAATGGTACTCGCTAGTACGATACCCTTTAGCACAGTGTGTGGCCATGACTCATGGCGTGTGTCAACCAATTCGCAGGCTGACATGGCAAAGGCCACTGCTTGCAACAAAGAACTCTAGGCAAAACACATGAAAAAACCCGATCATGTATCATCCCTCCAAATTTACACGCTGGGACTGTCCGGTACCCTGCATCCACACAAGTTTTGGCTCAAATTGTTTGCGGCCATGCCACGTCAAAGCCTTCCCCAAAGCTGCAGGCAGCTCACTGGAACCCGCAACCGCCATGGTGTTGCTAAGCGTCCGAGCCACCTCCATGGAAACATTGGAAACACTGGGCCCCACTCTAAAGTGAGGCATGCCCTTTTCCCGTCAGGCTTTGAAGGCAATCAACCTCCACTGGTAGTTTTGAGAACCCTTCAAAGAGCACTTGGTGGCTATGTAATAAAAGCCCAATTTGGTTTGTATTAAAAGCCTAACCCAATGGAGAAAAACGCGCTCTGGGTCCATGGATCCAAAGAGCATCAGTGCTGGGCTCATTCGATTGGCACTGACTCGGCACTCGGCACTCGGCACCGCATCCGATGTCTGCGGCTCAGAGAGCTCGCTCCCGGCCTGGGAAGAGCTCGCCCAGAAATCGAAGGATCTCCTCGCTCTTTGCCTTCTCCCCCTCCTGGCGCTTGATCAAAAGGTCCCAACAAAAACCTAGAAAGATTTGAAACCATTCATTTGGAAAAGTTACCCTTGTTCATTTGGGGGCCAGGAATATGGATCAACCCCCATGTGTCGGTCAAAAATCAAGAAAACAAGCACGGAGCAACTCTAGGACGCGAGCGAGGTAGTTGATTTTCAAGATGGTTGGCCCAAACCTTAGCTGAAGTCTAGAGAATCGATGCTCACTGCGCAGAGACCCTCAGGCATCGCAAGCAGACCTAACCATGTCATTTTGACCATGTCGCGGTTGGCCCTTTCATCTAGCGGCACAAGTTGCGATTCACCCCCCATTTCGCGAACTTCTGGGCCAAGCGCTGTTCCGACTGCTCCGAGGTGACTGAGAGATGCCTCAAGCGTTGCACGAGCACCAGTCATTCGCCCCAATTGTTGCCCAATCAAGGCTCCGTCGCTTCCAGCTCGCAAGACATGTTACACTATGATGGCGGTGGGAGGTCAAAACAGGGCCGTTTTGGCATCCCCGTAAAAGGCGACGCCTTGGGTGGCACCGAAGTTCCAAAAAGAAAGGAACCAACCTCTTGGTGTCTGACAAAGGGAAGCCCCCGGAGACGGCAGCACTTGCGTTCTCAACCTCGAGGCGAGCTGAACCACTGCGCCCGTCTCTCTAGCTCTTAGCACCGGGCCCGGCCGAGAGGGACCTCGACCACCTGTGTCTCGGAGCGTCCCTGAGTTGGCAAACACAGATTCTTTGGTATGGCTCCTTTTGTTGCACCTCTTTGGGCTGGCTTTGAAAGAAAACTAAAGGAAACACCGCCATTTTTCCGGGGGGGGGTCCCGTATTGGAAGAGACCCCATTTTAGCCCATTTGCTGGCACGTGTTGTCAAAAAACACGTTGGAGCGATCGTGTCAGGTCCCTCATTCTCACACACCAACATGTCTTGTCCTAGCCTTTGAGGTTACATGCGCTCTCACGTTCACAGTTCATCTGCGGCCGCCTTCGTGGCTTCGTTGGTGCCTTGGGCGACGAAGAATCGCTCGAGCGCTCAGCTCCAGCCACACGCCCTCGGGTCCACACGCGGTCCGGGGAACTCCAGCATGAGGCAGTCGGGCGTGAAGGTGACCGTGCCCTGGCCCTGCAAGCCTCAGCCGAGCCGAGCGCCCAAAGACGCAAAGGGCGCAGAGCCGAGCGCCCCGCTGCCCCAAGTGAACTTGCAGCGCAAGCCCTCCACCTCGCGTTAGGCAAGAAGACTCTTGGCCAAACGACACAGCAACCCGCTTCGCCAAGCAAAGCATTGCCCTAAAAGCCTGCCTTGGCCACTTGCTTGAAGGTCTTCAGCACCCGATGGTGATCGCATTTGTCACTCAGCCCCACTTTTTGACGCCCACCGGAGGCCGACACCTCGAATCTCGACAAAGCCTGGCAAATCAAAACCAAGCCAACGACCTCGGGGTCAATGGAGCCGATGTCCGCAAACATCTTACCCTCCATGCCCAAAAAGAGAATGCGGGCAGCGGTGACCGCTTTGCTCGTCTCAACCTCGACACCCAAATTCCGTAGCGATTCAAGGATCTTGACGTCTTGATTTGGATCCGCACAGCTTGGGAAGTTCCCCAAAAAGCGCATGAACTTCTTCACCTGCGCATCGCTGCTGGCGAAGCATTGGCCAAAGTCGAGCAAAGCCACCGCTCCACGTTCCCATGCCTTGGTTCGCGTTGCTCATACGAAAACATTGCTACAAAAAATTGCAAGATTTCAAAACAATGGTGGTCTTCCTTTTGGTTCCAGTTGAACCAAGCTGAAAATGGAACCACACGCCCGTGTCAAAAGCGCAGATTCAGCCTAGAAGCCATGAAGTTTCCCGGGTGAGCATCTGCATGGACCAAGGTTTCTCCAGCCAGCATGGCTCCCCAAGCCGAGTACAGGAGCACACGTTGATCCTGGCCGAAGACATCCACCACCTTGCCCTCTGCCCATTTTTGCTCAGCTTCGTAGCCGGTAATGCCATCCAGCTTCTCCATGAGAAGCACTTGCTCCGTGCTTTCATAGACCTGCCCCACAAAATACGGCAATGGGCCCGCGAAAGAAAACACACACATGACCAAACCATGAAACCCTGCGCGAAAACATTGCGTAAGTTAAGCGATACGCAGCCCATCACGGCACTCAACCCCAGCCTCCGGCACAACAATGCTCGAACCCGCGAAGTGCTGCCGTACAAAGCCTTGGTTCTTCGCCTCCTTCCTCATGTCTGTCTCCCCTGACAGCACAGTCTCCAACTTCTCGGCCAACCCAGACAACAATGGATATATGCCTCTTGCCAGCTCCTCCTTGTTCACTTCTTTGGCAATGTGCACCATTATGTCAAGGTCGTCTTTGTAGGTCTGACACACCTTCTGGTGGAGCAGCTTGCACACCGCAGGCTTGCCATCAAGCCACGCTTCATGGACTGAAGCCATGCTTCCTGATTTCAACACCTCGCCGACCGACAGGTCACCCAATGACGAGTCCACGGACGACAGCGCCTGCTTGATGTCATCCGGATCACTGATAAACCTTGCTTCTTCCAGCGCCTTACAGAAGTGGCGGCGATAGCCAGATGGGATGTCCGTCCTCAGAGACACGTACTGAAGCGCCTTAAAAGCTAATCCTCCGAACTTGGTTGCGGACTCGAAGAGCACGCGGGCTATGAGATCGTGCCGCTGCGAGTCGGACAAAGTGGCCTGGGGACACATCTCGGCAACGAAGGGTAGGAACTTGCTCACACTGCGAATGGGTTTTGTCTTGACACCGTGTACGTAGATGTTGACGGCAAACTTCACAACGTCTTCTGCCATCTTCTTGCGCTCGGTTGCCACGTAGTCCACGCCACTCAGGCAGGGCACTTGAAGATCCATGGTGTCACACGATCAAAGAGATGTTCGGAGCTCTTGGACACTCAAAAAAAAGCTCGAGCCAAATGACCACCGACACAGCTTAGGATGTTGCGTCAGTGCCTCAACACCTCTGTCAGTCGTCTTCGCCGCAGCTTAAGCTCCCTCACACGACGCTCTCGCAGACGATGATCCGCCTTTTCTTTCGTGCTATCCTTGGCCACGGTTCATTTCGACGCGGCCACATCAGAACTGGCATCTTTGGCCAGAACCACCTATCAATGTCATCTTCCGCCCAACACTAGACTCCTGTTTCTGCTGTCGGCCCGTGTTTGACAGCAAAAAGGCACACGCTAGCTGTAGTCTGCGAGTACACCTCCAGCCGAGATGTGTCACCTTTGTTCGCTTGCAAACAAATGTGCAAACGTGCAAAGCGCTCTGCATCCCTGCTTCAGGTGAAAGAAAAACGTGGAGTTTGTCTGCGGATCCTGCCCCTGCCTGCCATCTCTGGAGCCCTGCTATACCTTCATGTTTCCTCTTCGCTGAACAGTTGATATGTGCAGCGGCGAGGCCCTCGTCACTGCATTCTGCGCGCAGCGCCAAAGCGCCAAAGCGCTCAGGCTGGCGAATCCAAACTGTGGTTGTTGGAAGTACGCATCTGCATCTACAAGCCCGAAAGCCGGCAGTGCAATGGGAGGCTAGGGGAGCAAATCCACAGCATATGCTATGGTGCTTGTGATACTGCCAGCGCCCGTCCACTCTGACCATAGAGCCGGGCACGTCAGCTAAGCACAGTCTGGCATGCCTGTGTCCCGCTTGGCTGCATCTACAGTAGCCTGTTCGAAATCCATTGGGGCCAAATGACCATCCGCAATCCGCCTAATCCTTGTGCTGGTTGATAATCTTCTCAATCCGTAATCCGAGCTGCAAAGTGTGATTTGAAACCTTGTGCATTGAACACCCCTGCAACCCATAATCCGCAATCCAGAAAGCACACAGTCCGGTCTGTAAACTGCATAAGCTGCCATCCGCTAATCATTCGGCCTGCAGCTGCGTCGTGCCAGCTGTTCAAGTAGCTCAGACCGAATGGCACAGCTCAAACACCTAGAGGTTTGGCTCAACCCCAAACCGTACATGCCAAATCCCATGCAAATGACCTGTCTACTCATGTCTTGGAAACCTTTTCTTGCACAAAACGGTAAGTCATCCAAAGTTTGGATGCCACACTTTCCACAGGCATGCGCCGTGAGTTTCACTGAAAACCCTCGATGCGACGCCCCTCGGAGTAACACGGCAGTCTGTCATCCGGCTGTCGTTGGTCCAATCGCTGGCGATTCACAGCCTCAAGCATTACACGCGTTCGGGAATCGAGCTTCATCTTTGGAAAGCCAGCCGATGAGCGAGGCTTGGTTTGCGAGGCTCCAGAGAGGTTTGTTGCAGTTGAGATTTGTGGAGCATTCAGCCAACGGTTAGCACAAGATCATGGCTTTGTTGCGTGCTCTTTCCCGCAACCCGCGTGGAGACCGGGTTGCCGTCTTGCAAGAATACGGAGAAGACACATTGCAGGTGTGGTTTCTGAGGGTATCCTTGGAGTGGAAAAGGAAACCCCGTTTCCTCACAACTACGGACCATTTTGATGCCAGGGGGCGCTGTTGCCATTTGAGAAGCGGGCGCTACGTAATCGTCCCCTTGTTCTTTAAGCCAGGCATGCCAGGCGTCTTGCAACACAGTCCGAGATAGTGAGGCCCTGCGTTTCGGCCTATCAAAACAAGTCCTCAGCCAAGAGGGATAATCTTTGGTCGGTGCAACTGGCCTGCCAAGCAACCCATGAGTGACTCAATTCTGAACCAGGAAAGGGTTTCAAATCTGAACTCACAACGTGGTTCCCTTGTGCCCTAAGCTGTCCCGCTTCTCCAATCGCAAGCTCTTCTGCTCGCACGCCTGCCTTCAAGGGTTGCCAGAGACATGATTGCATTTGCTGCGCAAAAGCCACACTCTGGCTAAGGCTTCACTTGCAAATCAGCGCCGGTAACGTTTGAAGACCAATAAAAACCATGATGTACTGCTACCAACAGTGCAACACGATGCCACTGGAGTGGGCCACGCTACGGCTTCTGTGAGATTTCCACGCTGATGCACATCGACAACTGTTTGCTAAGCTGCCAACAAATGGCTGTAGCCGCGATGGCTGCTTGTTCAAGATGTCATGCAGCCCTTGACTGTTACGTAGATGCAACTGTCATCGGGTTCCCAACCAAGCCAAGAATGACAAGCGCTTTGCAACACAGCCGTGCCCGAGATAGTGAGGCCCCGCATTTCAGCCTATTCGCAGAACTCCTCAGCCAAGAGGGACAATCTTTGGTCCGCGCAACTGGCCTGCCAAGCGTCTACGACCCATGAGCGACTCAATTCTGACCAGAAAAGGGTTTCAAATCTGACGTGGCAGCCTGGTTCCCTCGTCCCCTAAGCTGTCCCGCTTGTGCAATCGCAAGCTCTTCTGCTCGCACGCCTGCCTTCAAGGGTTGCCAGAGACAAGCTTGCAATTGCTGCGCAAAAGCCGCACTCTGGCTAAGGCTTCACTTGCAAATCAGCGCCGGTAACGTTTGAAGACCAATAAAAACCATCACGTACTACTACCAACACTGTAACATCATGCCACTGGAGTGGGCCACGCTGTGGCTTCTGTGAGATTTCCACGCTGATGCACATCGACAACTGTTTGCTAAGCTGCCAATCACTGGCTGTAGCCGCGATGGCTGCTTGTTCAAAATGTCATGCAGCCCTTGACTGCGACGTAGATGCAACTGTCATCGGGTTCCCAACCAAGTCAAGAATGACAAGTGCTTTGCAACACAGCCGTGCCCGAGATAGTGAGGCCCCACATTTCAGCCTATTCGCAGAACTCCTCAGCCAAGAGGGACAATCTTTGGTCCGCGCAACTGGCCTGCCAAGCGTCTACGACCCATGAGCGACTCAATTCTGAACCAGGAAAGGGTTTCAAATCTGACGTGGCAGCCTGGTTCCCTCATGCCCTAAAAACCATCACGATTGAATATCACTGAGCTCTTAGCCGCTCGTGAGCAAAACACTGAAGGTCAACGGCTCTGACAGGAGGCGGGATTTAGAAGGCATGTTTTCCTGGCCCAGCAATTCAAGCCGATAACTACAGGCTCGGTGTGAAGGGCGCAACACGTGAGCGGTGGGTTTTATTCCCTGGACCCTGGCGCATATCAACCGCGGGCCAGCAGGGTTCCTTCCGCAGGCGTTTGCTTCCGCGTCCTTTCGCGGCGCATGCTTTACAAGCTTTGCTTGAAGGAGTATTGGCGCAGAAAGGGAAGTAAGTTTAATAGAAAGAAACAAAGCTTCGGCGAAACCGCAAGCTTCCGCTCGTGCTGCGCGGAGCAAGTCTTAAAGAACAATGTCTGTCTCCCCACTAGGTCGCGGGCAACAAAAACCGCATCAACATGCAAGCACGCACGCTTGCTACGCAGTGCAAGCCTTGCTGTGGCTGGGTGCACGCTGCTAAGTGTTTCTGAAGCTTGATAGAACTAAAACCTTGCTCATGTCACATGCGCTAGTGACGCTTGAAGGTCAACGCTCTGAGGAGGCGGGATCTAGAAGGCATGTGCAATGCAAAGCGATGAGTCTCACCGCTGACTTGACTGCTTCAAAGTCAGGGAACTCCTCGGAAGAAGCAGTGAGGGCTTGCAAGCGTGATGACTCGATGATTCTAGCATCAACACGCAAGCACGCATGCTTGCCATGCAGTGCAAGCATTGCCGTGGCGGGGTGCGCGCTGCCAAGTGTTGCTGAATCTTGATGGACCCTAGCAACACAGTTTGCTGCAAACTGAGCTCAGCACTAGTATGCCACATCACTGAGTATGCTGCATTCCAGAAGCCAGTTGGCGCTGCAGTCAGAATGGGTCGGTTTTTGGTTCTACCCTCACTCACACATATACCCGCAATGGTTCAGGGAAGGCTGCAGCAGTGCCAAAGGGAAAGTGGTGCTGCGGCTTGCTGGGGATGGAATTATTTCACGTTTCAGGCACTTGGAGTGCTGAAACCTTGCTCATGTGAGGCACGGTCGAAAATACTTACCTACAGCCGTTTCGCTACTTAGCTTGAGAGTCCCCTATCGTTTTCCAGCGCTTCATCCTTTTCCACGGGTATCGTTTTTTTGAGAGTCCCCTATTGATTGCCATGGCTTTGCGCATTTTCACAATATCAATGAACACCAAACACTAAACTCAACAGAAGTATTTTGACGGTACTTCATGTCACACGCGCTGGTGACGTTTGAAGGTCAACGGCTCTGACAGGAGGCGGGATTTAGAAGGCATGTTTTCCTGGCCCAGCAATTCAAGCCGATAACTACAGGCTCGGTGTGAAGGGCGCAACACGTGAGCGGTGGGTTTTATTCCCTGGACCCTGGCGCATATCAACCGCGGGCCAGCAGGGTTCCTTCCGCAGGCGTTTGCTTCCGCGTCCTTTCGCGGCGCATGCTTTACAAGCTTTGCTTGAAGGAGTATTGGCGCAGAAAGGGAAGTAAGTTTAATAGAAAGAAACAAAGCTTCGGCGAAACCGCAAGCTTCCGCTCGTGCTGCGCGGAGCAAGTCTTAAAGAACGATGTCTGTCTCCCCACTACTTTCAAGCAGCGGGCAACAAAAACGGCTGCTCACTTTAATGCAAAAGCAATAAGTCTCAGCGCCGCTGGCTTGACGCTAACTGCTTCAAAGCAGTCAGGGAACTCCTCGGAAGAAGCAGTGAGGGCTTGCAGCGTGATGACTTGATGATTCAAGCATCAACACACAAGCACGCATCTTGCCCTGCAGTGCAAGCATTGCTATGCGCTAGTGCCAACCTGACGGTGGGTTCAGACACTACGGGTCAACGCCCCAGTGAAAGGCACGGGCAACCGCCCTTGCGCAAGCTGTGAGGCAGGCACGCTCGCAAGGACAAGCCTGCGCGCGGGCACTCAAAGGCACAGTCCTATTAAGAGCAGTGAGACTACATTATATAAGG